CCACATGGCTGGGGAGGCCTCACAGTCATGGTGGAAGACCAAGGAGGAGTAAAGTCATGTCTTACATGACTGCAAGAGAGACAGAATATGCAGGGGAACTCCCCCTTATAAAACCATTAGATCTTGTGAGACTTATTCACTGTCATGAGAACAGCACGGGAAAGACCCTCTTCCATGATTCAATTATCTCCCACCAGGTCCCTCCCATGACACATGGGAATTATGGGAGCTACAATTCAAGATGAGATTTGGGTGGGCACACTGTCTAACCATATCAGAAGCAAACTCAACTTAATATTTACTAAACCAGAAAGTTAACCATCCTACTTGGTCTTGGTCAGAAAGTGAATGTTGCTTGTGATAACTTAATGGCTCAAAGCAGCCTAAGTTCCATAGCCTAGTAAAGAGTTAATAATACTTAATAAGGAGTTTATTATATGTCATCCATGTCAAAACAATCATATTAGGGTAAACATCTGTTTTAGACTATTTGTGTATTAATTTAAACACAGTGACATTCCTTCATTTTGAGTAGTTAATGTACTTATAAATGCAACCAAGCAGCAATTGGGTTTTAAATTTTTTTAATAGTCCGTAAATCTCTGGATTGGCGGTTTTCACTATTTTTAAACCTACACTTAGCTGATTCTTTTTGAAATTTGAGTATATGTTTAGTTGAAAATAAGTACCTACAGAAGAAACAGAAATGGTGTGGCAGGCGTGCTGTCCTACTAGGCATCCCTTCAAATATTTTTTTAGGTGTATGAAATTCATAAGCTATTCAGTCCACGCATACTGGGAGCCTGTGGGAAATGTCATTTTAATGGTGATATTTAACATGGATGTTTCAAAGAAATAGTGTTTAGCTACCTATTTTACTGCTTGATTGTGATTTTCTTAGCTTTTATGTTGACTGACAGGCTCCCTATACCCAATCCTTCACTCCACTCTCCAACCTCTGGGCATCCAGTACCCTTCGTCTGCCCCTTGAGGAACCCCAGGCACCCTGTGGTACCTTAATCATACCATCCCTTTTTGTTGGCGGCCATTCTCCCAATTTAACCTACTCATTCTTTTCTATTATCCAGTCAAACAAGGTCCTATCTTGGGTCCCTTATTCTTTTGTCCATTTTGCCCCCCTCTTAGTTGATTTAATAAATGCTCTTCTCCCATCAGGTAACAAAACCAAAGCATAGTTTTTTAACCTAAGGAATATTTTGCTGCACAATTTTTACACACAGTGGCAGTTGTGTGATTCTAGTCTTTACTCCCTCAAGTCTCTCCCTGAAAATGCCCTGGGAATTCTTTTCCTATATTTTTCATCATGTCTTACTCTAATCAAGATAAAAACAAAACAAAACAAAACAAAAACCCACTAAGAAGTCAATAGGTTCAGTACCCTCAGAGTAAAGTTACAACTCTTCAAACTTTGATGAACTGAAGCAGCTCATTTGTAACTTCTATCCCTATAAATCTATCCCAGAAATCACCTCACTAAAATAGTTTATCATGTTATGTTCTACTCAAAGGATTTCATTCCTCCTAATGCCCTCAGAATCAAGTTCCAGCTCTTCATACTTTTCCAAAGTCTCTCAAATCTGGTGTCACCTGAACTTCCTAACATTTTTTCCCATAATCTTCCAATCCAAACGTGTTCAGCAAAACTGACTTTCTCTTTTCTTTAACTTGAAATGTCCTTCCTTTAACTTTCTCTCCTACTTCCAAATTTTTATCATACTTTAAGGCATAGCTTCATCTCACCTCCTGATTAACCCTCACTTGAAGACTCAGTCCATATAGATTTCGTTTCTAGGCAGTTCTATTTTTCTTTTCTTTTCTTTTCTTTTTTTTTTGTGACTCAAATAACAGCTTAAATTTTTATATAACCACTCCACAACCAGAGTTTGTGTGTAATATAGGCATATTCAAGCTGAAATAAACCTAAGATGGACGTCTGTAAGGGCAGCTGATGCCTGAATACTAAAATGCTGATTCTAAAATCAGGAAAGAACTAGTAAGTTACAGAGGGTCTTTAACTGGAGACTTCATGAGAATGCTAAAACTGTTGCTTAGAGCACATGAAACCCAATCCTATAATGAGAAATGCAAAGCATATGTACTTATAATACCAGTATGTGCACTATAAAGCTTAGGGCATTCAATAGCCTCTGATGCCATTCTCCATGTCTTCCTTAGGGATGTGAAATAAGTCTTACCTACTGTGGGTAGGGCACTCAGCTGCCTTTGATTTTCCTCTTTGAGTCACGTCTCATTTGGCCTACTGTGGCATGGCCATTCTTGTTTCTTCGCTGTTATTAGTAATTGTAAGTAGTTCTTAGTCTTTCTTAGTGTTAGTGCTATTTAATCCAGAAATGGCCTTTTAGGACCTGAATTCTGTCCTTCTATCCTGAGCATAGAGTGTCTGCATGCCTCATGTGGGGATTAGAATTCTAACTCTGGCAGCTGTTTTATCTCTGTGCTATGTGGCTGGAAAATACTTTAAAGCCCATTTGTAGGAAGAATATCTTTTGTAAACCATCGGCTTTGAAGTCAGATTTCTAAGTCTAAGTTTTCTGTAGAAAGACAATGACAAACAAAATAACAAGTCCTCAGTTTAAAGATGACTCCCCTGAACCACACCACCCAGTAGTTGTACCCAGTCTATATTGTTTTTTGTGTTTTAAAATTTCTTTGAAAATGTTCCTTTTTTTCAGAACATTTGTATAGTAAGTAATATAGTAACTAACTATTGGAGTTGTAGAGTGATTCATTGATGAATGTATTTCTTCTCCACTCTGGTGTATATTTCAACAGAGCAGAGACTGATTTATTTCATCATTACCTTCCCATCCTCTAGCATTGGCCCAGCTCCCCAAATACTTGTTGAATGGAAGAATGCCTCATAAGGTTGATATAGAAGGAAAAGAAATAAACTGTATACAGCACTATATAAACAAACATACCCAGTCAGCCCTCCATATTCCCAGGTTCTACATTATGGGACTCAACCAACTATAGACTGGAAACATTTGAGAAAAGAAGAAAACAATAAAAAATAACAATACAACAATAAAAATAATATACTCTAACAACTATTTGCATAGCATTTACATTGTATTAGGTATCATAAGTAATCTAGAGATGTTTTAAAGCATAGAAGATATATTAGTATGTAGGTTATATACACATACTGTACCATTTTACATAAGCGACTTGAACATCCATGAATTTTGGTATCCCTCAGGGTTCTGAAACTAATCCCTAATAGATACAACTGTATATGTGTGTATGTATCAGTATATAGAGTACTATGGTTAGTACATGGTAAGTATTCCAAACATTTTGATTTTTTATTATTATTATAGCTTGGAACCTCAACTGAAAGTGTGCCTCCTTCTCATACAGAACATGGATACTTCTTGTGCTATGTCACAAGAAGTCACTATCTCCCCAAATAAAAGGCTAGATTGATCAGAGTGTTTGCATCTTTCCCATTCAAGCACCTGGCTAGCCCCATTAGGCCTAGAGCCCTACCTCTCAGTGCCTTTCAATCCCCTGACACTCAGTACTCTCAGTACATATTTAGTGACTTAATTTACAGAACTGCTAAACTCACCTTTCTGAACATGTCTTCTAAGACTCACTGTCTCTCCCCAGATTAGCCAGAAAGGCTACAGGGAAGAGCAGAGACTAGAAGGCCTACAGCAGCTAGCAAACTTAACTTCAGGGAGCACCATCGCGCCTTTCAAAGTTCCTATTTCACAAAGTTTTGCCTGGGAACTCAGCAGGAACAGGAGAGAATTAAAAATAAATGACTAAATGAAACCTAGATTTATGTTTCAGTCAATTGAGAGAATCTGACATGGCAATGTGCCAGCCCACAGTAGGTGTTCAGTAAGTAACTTGAATAAATTTGGTGCTAGAAAAAATGTCTCAGTGGCTCTTGGCATCCATTGCCTCTTCTATAAAGAGAGACTGTAGTATACATCCCTCTCCTGCCTTTGAGCAGGGCTTTAAAACTATGACTCTAGTAAAATCAAGAGTATTTTCACAACCAAGACAAGTTTTTACAATGGTTTTACTCCACAGAGTAAAAAAGAAAGAAAGAAATTATGAAGCTCCCTGAATTACTGGATGGGAAACACTGGCTTCTTTAATGCAGGAAAGCAGACTGGCTTCGCGGTTCTTGAAGGAGAAACGCATAACTCTTCCTCTCCATGCTCTTGGCTGGAGACACCCTGTGGGTAAGTTAGGGTAGATGTAAGAGGGAGCGGGCAATTCCAGTATCTTCACATAGGGAAAAGGTAACGAAGAATCAGGCTGTAAAAGCCAACTATTGGGAGAGGAAATAAAACTTAAAATTTGTCATCATTAGTGGAAAAAAAAAAAAAGAGGTAGGGACAAAAGGAGTAAGAAAATGATGGGGGTGGGGGAACTAATAAAGGAAAACCTGAAAAGGAAGTTGAAGAGAGGAAAGAGTGTCCTACGCATTTTGTTTTTACTCCTGCTCCTTCTCTCTGACTCCCTCCAGAATCCAGAAAAAGTTTGCAAGCGCAACTTTAGGGATGGGAGACAGGGCTATTCACCAACAGACCCACGAAAAGAAGCGCCTTCACCATTCCCCATTCGCGCCGCCGCCGTCCTTTCCCTCTCGCGGGGTGATGGGCAGGAGGCAACATTCTTGGGACGCGGTAGCTCAGCCGGATACCCCGGAATCCCGTCAGGCTCGAGCAGCACGCAGCTCTCCTTCTGGCAAAGCCTCCTCTGCCTTGGCCATCCACCTCCCGGAAAAGAAAAAGGAAAGATCGAGCCTCTAAACCGTCCTTTCCCCCTCCCCCTCTTCCCGGGGGAGCTAAGGAAGAAAGTACCGTTCTGTGATTCACTGGAGAGAAAAGAGGGAGGAGGCAAAAGAACTCGGAGTGCCAAAGCTAAATAAGTTAGCTGAGAAAACGCACGCAGCTTGTAGCGCCTGCGCCGGGTGCGCGAGCTCGGCAAAGGCCAAACCGGCTCCGCGCTGGCGGGCCACGGGGCTAGGGACCCGGGTTTGGCCTTCAGGCTCCCCAGCAGCCGGGAAAAGGAATTGCTGCCGGGAGTTTCTGCAGAGGTGGAGGGAGATCAGGAAACGGCTTTTTCCTCACTTCGCCGCCTGGTGAGTGTTGGGGAGATTGGCAAACGCCTAGGAAAGGACTGGGGAAAACAGAGAGCCCTGGGAAAGTGGAGAAGGTGATCAGGAGGCCGTCCACTACGGCAGTTTATCTGTCCGATGAGAGCCCGACGCGACGCGTCCACTTCGCAGTTCTTTCCAGGTGTGGGGACCGCAGGACAGACAGCCGTTCCCACTGCCCTCCGTACCAGCACTGCCAGGACAGTCAGCTTTGCTCCCCAACGTCGAGGGCGCTCTGGCCACGAAAAGTTCCTGTCCAGTGTGATTCTCAATTCCTTGCTTGTTTTTTTTTCTCCAGAGAACTTTTGGGGGGAGATATTAACTTTTTTTTTTTTTTTTTCTTATGTGGAAGCTGCTCTAGGCAGTGGGGAGGAGGAGGAGAAAGTGAAATATGCTGGAGAAGAGCGAGCCCTCCTTGTTCTTCCAGAGTCCCATCCATTAAGCCATCACTTATGGAAGATTAAAGTTGTCGGACATGGTGACAGCTGAGAGGAGAGGAGGATTTCTTGCCAGGTGGAGAGTCTCCACCGTCTGTTGGGTGCATGTGTGCGCCCGGAGCGGCGCGGGGCGCGTGGTTCTCCGCGTGGAGTCTCACCTGGGACCCGAGTGAATGGCTCCCAGGGGCTGTGCGGGGCATCCGCCTCCGCCTTCTCCACAGGCCTGGGTCTGTCCTGGAAAGATGCTAGCAATGGGGGCGCTGGCAGGATTCTGGATCCTCTGCCTCCTCACTTACGGTTACCTGTCCTGGGGCCAGGGTTTAGAAGAGGAGGAAGAAGGGGCCTTACTAGCTCAAGCTGGAGACAGACTAGAGCCCAGCACAACTTCCACCTCCCAGCCCCATCTCATTTTCATCCTAGCGGATGATCAGGGATTTAGAGATGTGGGTTACCACGGATCTGAGATTAAAACGCCCACTCTTGACAAGCTCGCTGCCGAAGGAGTTAAACTGGAGAACTACTATGTCCAGCCTATTTGCACACCATCCAGGAGTCAGTTTATTACTGGAAAGTAAGTGTTCCTACTTCTTATATTTATTCTTTGGAGAAATCTTAAGCATTTAATTAATATCCAGCTCCAAACTTAAGGGAGTAACAGAAAATATGGGGAACAACTGAATGAATGAAGAATGAATGAATGATATATGTTATTGGGGTACCGTGTTAAAATGGATACAATGTTAATGATCTTAATTTTCTAGTCACGAGTGTAGTCTAGTTTTCCTGTTTACAGAGTCAATTGTAAGTTTTTAAATGAGATGAGAATGTATAAATACCCACCAACCAGAGATTTCCAGAAATGGTCTCCTATTCCAAATCTATTCTACTTTTGAGCATGCTCAGATTTTGTTTCAGATGTCATACTAGAATTCACACTCACCATCACTGATAAGAAAGATCAAAATTTTATTTTACTCTTGGTGCATTTTTAAATCTAGAATTGAATTATCAGAGAAAATGAGCCAATGAAACAGATATAATGTAAAATATGACCAGTTTATGTACGACTCTGCTTTGGTCTTTGATGGGCCATTTTCTCTTATGAGACCCTGTAATGAAGGCCATATTTAATTACCAAAGCAATTCTCAAAAGGCAAGGAAATACAATGGTAAGTGCTCAAGAGGAGTCAAACTTCATCTGCAGTTTTCTGCTGCTCTTCACAGGTCTGGAATTTTCTGAGTAACCAACAGAAATCAGACTATTTGTATGCTTAAGTAAAGTGCTTTTCATATTGTTGCTGTTTTGCTAACTAGCTAAATCTTCTACTTAAAATGTTCACGCATTTTCATATTTTTACTCTATCCTATCAGAACATAGGCTACTGTAATTGATTTGGATGTACAAATTCAGCCTGTGGAACAAAGATAAACTAGGAAGGGCAGGGGTTAAGCTGGACAGAGGTAGAAGAAAAGCCTTAGCCATTTCAATCTGTCTTGTGATTTCAGTTGCAGGACAGGGAACCCTTGCTTATGTGAAGTTGTTCTTGGAATTGGATCCTATAAAAGTAGCCAGTATCCATTGGAAAAATAAAGACTATTTTGTAAGAATCTCTGTCTTGCAGAGACTTTTGCTTACAGCATGATTTCCACTGCTTAGCAAACTGTCAGAACTTAACATCATTGCCAGAAAAGAAAAAAATTATTATCCTTCCCTCTCCTGAGAATGAGAAAAGTCTCACTGTACTTCAGAGTCATTTTAAAGATTAATTGTGGCATCAGAAAATCAAGGGTATTTGATATTTATAAAGGAATAGATTATTGGCTGGAAAATAATAAGTCCATCTGGTGGCCTAGAGGTCAAGTTCTTCATGTTTAACCCCAAACACGCTTATATTTGGCTCATGAAATAAATGTCTCACAAAGCTTCACTGGACCTCTTCAAGTAACTTATAGAATTTAGATTTACACAGATAGCCAACAGTGGTTGAAAATATGTAACTGAACTATATGAATTTATTTTTCACAGTAAAGCGTATGTTCAAGACTTTTCACCAAACAAGAAAATTTGTTCTTAAACATTATCGTGCATTGAAACAATATGTAGGTTTTATCTTTTAACCATTATGTTTACTTAATAAAACGAAACAGGAACTAAGCTGAAAATATTTCCTAATTTTTTCTCTTTGGTGAAAGATTAACTTCTCTGTAATTTCAATGCAATCAAACATCTGATGAGATTTCTTTTCTCATTAAAAATTTTCATTCAGTGCAACAGGTTGTATAACTTTTATAGGCAAAAAGTACAAATAGCTACTGTGATTTGATTTAAATTTCTATTTGAATTAAACATTTGTATACCTTTTCACTTGCAATTTCTCCTTTTAGACAAATTACTGGAACCTTCCTTTAAATGAGCACAGATGTAAGAAATAAAGCAGTTATGGAAGCCCAGTTCTGGACTCATTAACCCATTTATGCCTGAGGTTGCAATTTTTTGAATTTTTGCAATCAGACTCTGGTAATGATCTTGAGCAGTAGTATATAAATAAATCCCACATGCTTAGAATTCCAATAATGGAACACTAGGCATAAATGAGTTAATAATGCAGGTCCCAGAGAATATGGTCATTTGTTCTCTCTGTGAACACATTCTATGCCTTGTGAATCTTCCAAAAAAAAAAAGGAAGCAATAAAAAAACTGAAACGAACTAAACTATTTTAAGGGAAATAAAATGGGTTATGAGAAGTGTGACATGATTCAAATATCTTCACATGATAGAGTTTACATAATTGAAGCTGAAGTTACTTTTGATACTGTTAACAAAACAGCCCTCCCTTTATATTTTTCTGGAGTCAAAAATTAAAAATCTATTTTCTTTTACTACACAAATCTATAACAAATTGCAGATTCCCTTAATAATTTACATCATATGAGTCTGGCAATATTGAATATCGGCCAGCCTGTCAATAAGCATTCATGTGTACAGACCCCTGCAATGGAGCTATGAAGAAGAAACAAGAAGTAAGCCCTAATCTCTGGATAGTAGTTCTCAAGCTGTAGTGTGCAAAAAGAATCAGTCCAAATGCTAGTTAAAATGCAGATTTCTGGGCCCTTCAGCTTTGGTTAGGTCCAGGGTTGGGTCTAGAAATCAATAGTGATTTAGTGAGCATGTCAGGTTATTATGATGATGACATTATCAAAAATAAATTAAGATTGTTAGTATTAAATGTTACCATCTGCTGAGCAGTCACTGTGTTAATGAATTTTATGTGCATTGTCTCATTTAATCCTTCTAACAACTTTAGATAGTTGCTATTGTTATGCCCATTTTATATTGATGTAGCAACAGATTCCAAGAGGGGTAGTAATGTAGGGATTCTATGCACTGGGCTTTGAGAAACAGCATTCTAGGTGTTCACAGTTGTCCTGATGAGATAAAAGGTTGATTGGGAAAGTGACTGCCTGTGTTTGATTTATTTCAAAGTAATTTACTCACTTTTGTTTTTACAGTTTTGCAAATAAAGATATGGATTAAAAATATCTTTCTTTTCTTAAAAGAGAATATAGTGAAGGCTTCATAAAGAGAATTATAAGTTTTGCAAAACCTAGACTTGTTTTATGCAGACCTTAGAGAAGGAAAGGTTGACAATCTGAATTGAATTCATATCTTTGATAGTAATTTTGTGTTTTTACTATTTTGTTACTCATTTATCCCACTTGAAATACCATGATGATCACTGTTAACAAATGCAAAGGTGACTCAAATAATGTTTATTTCTAATAGGATATTTGATAAATTCGCTGTGCTTAAAACAACCCCCTACCCAACTGGTACCCCTCACCATGGATAATCACTTTCCCAATTTCTCACACCTTAAATTAATTTTGCCTGGTTTTGAACTTTATACAAATTGAGTTACAGAGAGGATACTCTTCTATGTCTGGTTTCTTTTAGCATTATGTTTGTAAAATTTTTCAATGTTGTTTCCTGTATATATAATTTATTCGCTATCATTGAATAGTATTCCTTTGCATAAGCATATTACAATTTATTTACCCATTCTACTGTTAATAGACATTTGGGTTGTTTCCATAGTTGGGTTATTATAAACAGTGCTACCATAAAAATACTTGTGTATGTTTCTTTGTGAACATAGGTATGCATTTCTTTTAGATATCTATCAAGAAGTGGAAATCCTGGGTTAAAGGGATGTGTATATTCAGTTTTGGTAGATACTGCTCAAGTTTCCCAAAGTGATTCTACCAGTTTATACTCTCACCAGTAATTGTATAGAAAGTTCTACTTGCTTCATATCTTTGTCAACATTTATTATTATCTTTTTTCATTTTAGCCACTCTGGTCATTATTCACTGCTACATCATTATGGTTTAAATCTGCATTTTCCTGACAATTAATAAAGTTGAGCATCTTTTCACATTTTTATGAATCAATTTTATATCCCCTTTAAAGAAGTATTTATTCAAATATTTTGCCTATTTTCTCTTTAGATGATTGTTTCTGCCTTATTAATTTGTGGTAGTTATTTATATATTCTATTCCTTTGTTAGAGATTTGTATTGCAAGTCTCTTTGCCCATGCTGTGGCTTGCTTCTTCATTCTCCTCAACAGTGTTTTGGTTTTTTAGTGTATTTTTTTAGTGGTTGTGGTGTGTTTGGTTTCTTTAGTTGTTTTTCTTTTTCTTTTTTTTAAATTAACAGGAGGTTTTAATTTTCTTGTAATCCATATTATAATCTTTTTCTTTTTATGTCCTATTGAAGATATTCTCTCTACCCCAAGATCATGACCATGGTCTTTTATCCCTAAGAGTTTTATTGTTTTGTTTTTATATTTAGATTATGATTCATCTGAAATTAGTTTTTAGTATGGTGTAAATGAGAGTTCAAGATTAGTTTTTCCATGTTTATACCCATTTGACCTACACTGTTTATTAAAAAGACCATACCGTCTCCATTACACTGCAGCATCACTTTTTCATAAGTCAGATGAATGCACATGTTTGGTCTGTTTCTGCACTTTTCCATTCCAATTCTCATTGTTTTCACTGTTTAGCTATTTGTTGTGTCAATGGTATGTTCTCTTAACTACTATAGCTTTCTAATAAATTTTAATATCTTGAATGTAAATCCTCCTGCCTGTTCTTCAAAATTGCCTTGGCTATTTTTTACCAGTTCATTAATTTTCCTAGGAAAGAAGAGAGAGTATAGATGTACAGATGCAAATAGCTTGGAAGATTTGGTTTTGGGACTCTGAAGTAGTTCTCTTCTGAATTATCCTACTTTCTAAGTAAAATAATAAATGAGGTAATTAGCTGAGAATGAAGATCTGAAGGTTTAACGAGTGACAGAGAGAGATACAAAATATCTGCTAGGAGAGTGAGAAAGTGAATTGGGTAAAGAAATGCAGTAAAAATACTGGGCTGTAATGAGAGCCCACTTGAGATTTGTGGTCATAAATTTTAACAGACATCAGGCATTTTTTGTTTGTTTTTCTCCCACCCTTCTTGGTGCTTGTGTGCAGAAGTACAGTTGAAGAGGTGGAATTAACTAGT